CTACTAACTTCATACATAATGAAGGAGGAAGATAATGGGAAAGACTATAGTGAATTATAAACTGGGTGGGTCGAGCCCTGAAAGCTGATTGGCTGACAACCGTGGTATATCAGACCGTATACCAAGGGTATGACAAAACGTTTATTTTTACTGATCTAATTAGGTTGGTAACCAGTTTATAATAGCAATAAGGCACCTCAGGGGTTTGTGATATATGGCCAATATACCATGGCTAAGGGCTGTGTCCAGGCACATAAGAACAGCCCTTAGCCGTGGTATATTGGCCATATACCACACACCCTTGGGCCTTATTGCTTAATAAACAGTGCTGTCACCACCATGAAATATTGCACTGCATTCCTAAAACTTCTTGAGCGATACTGTAGCCTGTTTTCTCCTTATGGGGGAGAGGGAACTGGAGCAGAAGAGGGAGGAATGCATTACGTCTCCATGGCATGTGTAAACATCTGAAGCACTGATAGGCCTTAATACACACACACACACACACACGACAGCTGACCATTCTACAATCTACTGAGCAACTGTCAGCCTGTCACACAATTTGAGCGCCCTCCATTCAATCTGCTGTCTGCTGGCCACTACTGAAACTGCACCCAAAAATAGAGTACACATTTTCAAGCAATTATATAAGCTCATGTTAATTATATAATCAGATTTCCTCAGCCAAGCATGTCATTTTGTGGAGGACTGGGGAGAAAATGAAAATGTGTGTGTGTGTGTGTGTGTCAAAGACAGTCCCTCTAAGTGGTTCACCCAGAAGTAGACTGTGCTCCCCTCCTGTCCTCTGTACCACTTTTCCACAGTGTGACGTCAGCTCTCTCCATAGTTGGCACAGTTTCACATGGGGCCTGTTGGACTTGGACACCAGTGATTAGATAATATGAGAGTTAGATTAACGTACAGACCAAGGTTATGTTAGAGCAGCTGGACAGTAAGAAATAAGTGGAAGACCCAGGTACATTAAGTGTGTGTGTGTGTGTGCCCTATTTGTAGAGAGGGCATTATGTAAACAGGAATATAGCTTACTGCATTAGAATGATGGTAGAGGCAGGGGGCTTGAGTACTAATCATTTTAATAGAGATTAATATGGGTCATGGATTTTTTCACTGTGCATAATAGATAATAGAACCATATGGAAGAGTTATTTTGACCACAAACAGGTTATTTTTCAGGAAATTAAATGTTGGCAGAAACCACTGGAACTTTCAGAAACAGGTTAGACAAGGTAATAGTCTTTTCACCTTACACATTGTCCAATAGATTGTTTGTTAATACAGTCTAGATTAACTGAATGGCATGTTATTATCATTAAAATGTTCTTATGAAAAGCAGTGTGTGTGTGTGGACAGGAGAGTGGGGGGGGGGGGGGGGGGGGGGGAATGGGGGTAGAGAGACTGTGTGTTTGAGGTCTGGGCTGGTCACCAGGCCGAGGGAAGCTAAAGAAATTTAGCACTAATTAGCTGACCCGGACTAGGTCTCTGACCTCTACTAAGGGAAATGGGGAGGATCACCTGATGCACAAATATATAAGTCACAGCACAGTGGAAGAAGATAGGTCTACCTTAAGGAGGATATACAGCTGAAACTCTTCATTTTGTCTTCATGAGGACAATGCTTTATCAAACCTTAGAGGTTTGTCCCTCTTTAACTGTTTGCTCGGTCTGTAGACAGGTGGTGTTTGACAGGCACATTGAGTGTTGCTCAGCATTTTGCACTCATGTAGCCTGCAGTAGTTAAACAGCACATTGAGTGTTGCTCAGTATTTTGCACTCATGTAGCCTGCAGTAGTTAAACAGTTTAAGCACGTCCTTTACTGGGCGCCAAACAACATACACTACTAATATACACCGCTAGATGGCAGAAGATACAGGTTTTTATTAAGAGGAGAATGATTTTATTGGGTGGGCTAATTTCAGATGGGCTGTGTACAGGTGCAGTGATCGGTAAGGTGCTCTGACAACTGATGCTTAAAGTTATTGAGGGAGATAAGAGTCTCCAGCTTCAGAGATTTTTGCAATTCGTTCCAGTCATTGGCAGCAGAGAACTGGAAGGAATGGCGGCCAAAGGAGGTGTTGGCTTTGGGAATGACCAGTGAGATATACCTGCTGGAGCGCAGACTACGGGTGGGTGCTGCTATGGTGACCAATGAGCTAAGATAAGGCGGGGATTTGCCTAGCAGTGATTTATAGATGGCCTGGAGCCAGTGGGTTTGACGACGAACATGTAGTGAGGACCAGCCAACAAGAGCGTACAGGTCACAGTGGTGGGTAGTGTATGGGGCTTTGGAGACAAAACGGATGGCACTGTGATAGACTACATCCAATTTGCTGAGTAGAGTGTTGGAGGCTATTTTATAAATGACATCGCCGAAGTCAAGGATCGGTAGGATAGTCAGTTTTTATGGGTTGATATTGATAATGAAGTGTAGGCCTACTATTTTGTTTGAGAAAAAAACATACCTGTCAGTTTGTATACAGAAAATACATTTGTCCCCATGTAGTCTATAATTGCACCCTTATCTGATTGTTAACATTTTAAAAAAAACACATTGCAGCTCAACATAGCTGACCTGGCCATTTAGCAGTACACATTTTATCTCCACATTTCCATTTAGTCTGCCAGTAACATATGGGATGTCTATGTATTAATACTCCTATACGTAGGCCTAATTAAATGAACTAAAAATGATTAAATAATGTTGACCTTGATGTGTGGGGTAGCAGCACTTTCTCTTTCACTGGGATGAGGTGACCTCAAGTGTATTTATGTGTCACAGGAGGTTGGTGGCACCTTAATTGGGGAGGAGTGGCTCGTTGTAATGGCTGGAGCGTTATAAGTGGAATGTATCAAATATTCAATTCGCTCCGTTCCAGCAATTATTATGAGCCGTCCCCCCCTCAGCAGCCTCCACTGCTGTGTTTACAGAGTTGATACTCTCTGTCACTCTTTCTCGCGGCACTGACACCCCGACCATGGATCTGCTTGGAAACAAACTGCGGCAGCTCGGGTTACCGGGCACGATCGATGACGAGTGTGAGCCACATGCGGGGCAAGGGTGTCGCGTTGCGCGGAGGAAAGAGTATCGACACATGGCCGATCGCTATCATAATCACACTTCCCCTCTTATCGCGCCTTCTGCCCCAGCTGCCTACTGAATAAAACATCCCCCTTCCTGCTGAAGATCCACACCCCAAATCTGGAGGGAAATGGAGTCAAGAAGTCTCACGTAAAGACACATAGTACCATTTTCTATCACTCAATAGGTATGAGTGAATAGGTGTGCATGTTTGTAACTAAACAGAGCCCATGGGGCGGCGCGCAATTGGCCCAGCGTCGTCCAGGGTAGGGGAGGGAATGGCCGGCAGGGATGTAGCTCAGTTGATAGAGCATGGCCTTTGCAACGCCAGGGTTGTGGGTTCGATTCCCAAAGGGGGTATGAAAAAAAATAATGTACGCACTAACTGTAAGTCGCTCTGGATAAGAGCGTCTGCTAAATGAATAAAAAATGTAAATGAATATACTGTATTATTGATGATAACATGAACTACTGCAGACAGAGACCGAAAAAATAGAAATTGGAATGTTTCTCTGATCAGGAAAATAATGAGTTGGATTACAAGGATGAAGGGGGTTAGTTTGAGTTTATCAAAGTTCATTTTAAGTTTCTTCTCCCTCTCTGTCTGACACACATATCCCAGAAGGCTTCACCTGAGGGCTGTAAATCAGAGCCAGAGCACCCCCCCCCCCCCCAACACACAAAGAGATACCACAGGTGCAGTGGCCCTTAGGGCGAGCAATTAACAGGGAAAGGGTGTGGGGGGCATGAAGAGGATGTATTTGCCCATGATATGTTCCCTCGTATGGGGGAGACCTGGAAGACAGCCCCAGGCTTTGAAGGCTAGGTGGGCCAACAAAGAGCATGGGAAAACTCTCAAAAGCAGAAAGTGTGTGATGCAGTACAACTACCATGAATAGGAATGGAGTAGTTGTGGGAATAGAGAAGCACAATAGTTATAGTCAGCTATAAGAGGACTCGCCTCAATGGGTTATATAGAATAGGAATCAACACAAGACTGAGTGAGATATAGGATAAGTTGCATATAGGGAACTGTGAGATTACCATCTTGCTTCCGACCGCTCTGCAAACATGTTTAAATTCCGATGCACATTCAATTAAACTTAAATGAAAATGGCATCAACTTCACAACATTCAAGATGGGAAAAGCAAACAAATAGCTTCCAGAAAATTACCTGTTTATTTGGGGGAAATTCCTCAATGTTCATGTATCATGTCCCTCCTCCCCTGGGACTCTAAAGGTTAGAGGATGCCAATCATGAAGACATTATGGGATGTATGTATAACTAACTGTCCTACTCTTTATGCCCAGCGGGGAATACTCTGTGACCTTTGACCAAACCTAAAGAGCCATGCATAATCTGTTAATTCAGACAACATATGATTTAAAAGAGCCCTGCAAAATGAAAATGATTGTGCTCTTGCACATATGCCACTTAATGGAAAATAACCTTGGCACAGGCACTCAAGCCAACCACACTGGTTTAAGTACCAACTGCCAACTGTTTGAGAAGAAAGAAATAGATGCTATTGAGACAATTAGCTAACAAAGTGGTCAGGAAGGGTGAGGCGCAGCGAGGGACAAGATGATACGGAGAATGCAGAGCGGGGTGTGAAGTGACAGTCAGCACATCTGGTCTCATCTATAATGCATGGTTCTTTAAACTGCAGTTTGTCGCATATTGAGCGCTGCCGCCTGAAATCAACACTGACACCCAAGCTTCTGCCAGGGGAAACAGGCTAGAGGAGAGTGAGAGGATGGAGAAAGAGCGAAGTCAAGAGTCAGAGAGTTCTGTTCATCCCAACATATCCCTTACTTTCGAGCCTGAAACTATTTGAGATAGAACATACAGTAGAGAATACATCTGGCTAAGAGTGTGTAGACATATTCACAACACTGAATACCATACTTCTCTTGTCTTTTATTATTAAAATGAAAAAATAAAAGAGCACCCTAAACAAAATAGAATGCCAGGTTTGATCCTAATCAGCAATCCAAAGTGTGAAGGTATCCTTTTCTCACATTAAATTCTAAACACACAGCTCAACAAAACATCATTTTCACATAATGACAGCCCACCCACTGCCTGCCATCATCTCTTTGACAAAGACAGGTGAAGTGGGCAAATGAACAGTCTATTTTCCTGTGATGAGGGGGTTTCTCAGCACCACGATGACAGAGTCTCCTCTCAGGAACATCTTAGAGATGTAACGGTCCTTGTTTACTGGTTTGGACTTCTTCTTGCCCTTGCCACTCTTGGGAACTTCTGTCCACATCTCCTTCACATTCTCCAGGACCATGTTGCAGTGTCTGCATTGAGAGGGGAATACAAATGTATGCAGTTAACCAAAATAGTATTAAGAATTAAGTATTTGGGGTGATATGCGTAACATGTGATGACAAAATGCTGACATTATCTTGTGTCTCACTAACTGTAAGTCGCTCTGGATAAGAGCGTCTGCTAAATGACTAAAATGTAAAATGTCTCTATTTGCTGGACATTTGAGATTAACCGTATAACTCCAATGGATGACTTCCGAACTACAGTGGCCTAACTACATAAATACCTGTCAAATGCCTTGACACGGCCAAGCAGCTTCTTGTTGTTTCGGCAGTTGACGAGGACCTGTGTGTTGTTTTTGACAGACTGGGTGAGCACAGACAGGGGCCCGGTATTGAACTCCTCCTCCTCCCGCTTCTGGAGCTCCTCAGGAGTCATCTCAGTCTTGGGCTTATTTAACAGGCTCCTGGAAGGATTATTGAGGATACTCATTGTTAACAGAGTTAAACTACAGGCAATTCAAACATTGTTGATAGACATGATGATGGAGACTTGACACAACTAAAGTTAATTCAGACAAACAGTTAGCTGCTAACACAGTTTTAAAACGTTTTTTTTATTTTTTATGAAGTGGCCAAATACAATTTGTATTACCGTATTGGTCCGAATATAAGACGGCCTTTTTTCCCCTCGAAATAGGTCCAAAAAAGTCGGGTCGTCTTATATTCGGGGTCTAGTATTCAGAGCGCAGTTTCTCTTCTTCGGCGCTCCCTTTAAATGTCAATACACATTCGCGGGCACAGATGGCGCCAAAAATTCGTTCCGGACGGAGGGAAGAGGCGTCCTTAACAACCAGCCCGTTACCGGTGTTTAAAGATGGAAAGACAGGCTGACCATTTAGAGACAAGTGGCTCAAAAGTGGGCCAGGTCAATAAACAACAGCGGAGGAGCTATGATGCCAATTTCAAAATAATGGTTGTCAATAAGGCAGAGTCATCTAACAACTGCCAAGCTGCCAAGACATTCGGGGTCACTGAGTGTAATGTAAGAAGATGGCGAGCAGAAAAACAACGTCTAAAAGATGCTAACAGTCAGCGAAAATCCTTCCGTGGTCCTCAAAGTGGTCGTTTCATTGAGGTTGACCGGAGGGTTTTTGAATATGTCAGGGAAAAAAGAAGTGAGGGAATGCCCATTACCAGAGCTGTCATCCAGGTTAAGGCCCTGGAAATCGCCAGAGAGCTCAACATCACTGGATTTAAAGCCAGCCTCGGCTGGTGTCGTAGGATGATGCGGCGTAATGGACTGTCACTTAGACGGAGAACGAGTTTGGCCCAACGCCTGCCGTCAGACTTCGGAGAGAAGCTGCTTTCGTTTCAGCGCTTTGTTATCAACCTGAGGAAGAAGCACTCCTACCCGCTGGATCAGATCGGCAATGCTGATCAGACACCCGTTTATTTCGACATGCCAACATCGGTGACTGTCAATAGAAAGGGAGATGTTGCTTTATTATTGCTTGATATTAATTTTGAATCATACTGTACATAGTTTGCCTTTGTGTTTAATTCACTGTGTTTTTAATATTGTTATTTTAAAATAAAATGAAGTTCTTTGTTCGGCAAATCTAGTCTGCAAATCTGTTTTTCTAAATGTTTGTGTTGAAAAACGGGGGGTCGTCTTATAATCAGGGTCGTCTTATATTCGGACCAATACGGTAGCTTGCTGGCTGATAAATTCCAATTTTTTATTATGATCACCATGGGTCATCTACAATACATGTTAGCTAGCTATAGTAGTTACTATTGCTAATAACGTTAGGTCATCATGACTGGCTAACAAACAGCTATCGTTAGCCAGCTAGCCAAATTTAGCTCCACATCTTTCCACAGTGATAAGGTCTCTGTTTTAATGTATCCAAACAAAGCACACAATGATTATTTAAAGTACTTACATATTTTCTTCAACAAATGGCGATTTTAGCAGGAAAACTAGCTAGTAAATAGTTGTCGGCTTCTTTAATAACTCCAACGCCACACTCGTGTGTTGTCTGTACAACGGCTTCCGGGTCCCGTTTAAAAATAATGCAATAACTTCCGGGTTGCCTTAACATTTATTTAAAAAACATTATCTGGATAAATTGTAATTCATTATGCAATTATGTAAATTATGTCTCAGTTGTAGAATGCAATAGAGTAAATTAACTATAATTTAGAGCTTATTCAATGTATCAATCTCAAGATGATTTTAGAATAAAACGATTATTTGAGAGAGAAAGAACATGTAATTTGATACTTAACACACACAGGAGATTCCCTAAAAACACTGCACTTCGATACAGCTACGACCGGAAGTGACTTTTTCATAGCAGGTTAGGAGAATTTGGTTAAGGTTAGGAAAATAGTTAGTGTTAGTGTCACTTCCGGTCGTAGCTGTATCGAAGTGGCATGTTTTTAGGTCCCAGACACAGACCCACAGGTAACAGGTAACTCTTTTGTAGACCTCTTGGTGACAGAGACGAGAGTGAATGCGTGTGAGAGACAGAGATGTACATTATCTGCACAGTACTGAGACATTGGGAGATTGGCTTACTGGCAAGAAACAGGCAGGCACCTTGGGGGGGGGGGGGGGGGGGGGGGGGGGCTCTACCTTGCTAGGTGATAATCACACCCACAGTGTGCTGATTTGGGAGGCCCAGGTTGGGGATTGATTTACCAAGCTGGACTATCATTATGAAACATACACCCTCTACCTGCCTCCGCCAAACAACTTAGACTTTCCCCTCTTCACTCACTCGCTTCCTTAATGTCCCCCATAAACCCTGGATGAATGTTTCTTGTAAAGTGGGCTTTTCAGACTGTTAGCTCTCCATACACCCATGCCAAGGTGTGTGTGTGTGAGTGTGTGTGTGTGTGTGTGTGTGTGTGTGTGTGTGTGTGTGGTCTAGCTACAGGGTCTTGGTGAGCACAAGCTGCCCCTGAGTGCACAGACACATCTTGAGGCCTGCCTCAGTCCCTCTCCTCATGTTGATTTACTCTCTGCCCTGTGGTACTGTGAGTCTGCTGGCTGGGTGATTTAGAGGTGTGGGGTTATTATCAACGCCTGTCAGAGGATGGCTGTTATTTATTACTGAATTAACAGCAAACAGGATCGTATTACAGTTGCCCCAGGATACACAAAGCCCCATTCTGTACTAGCTTACCTGTTGATTTACTCTCTTCCTCTCTATCTTGCTCTAAGTGGTTATACCACATTTACTCATGTGAGTAATGAAAATGTTATTATAATCTTTGCATCTAGACCCTAAGTTTGCCAACAGTGTTGGTGTAAGGTTACATGATCCTAAGAGCAGTATCCTGGTCTAACCACAGCCAACAATATTTGAGACTGTGCTGTATAGGAAAGGTGGCTACAGTCCCCATAAAGCCTATTTTGTTTGATATAGTCACACTTCCAGAAATCTGTCCTTATCTGTGTCCTCGCACATCTATTTTTATTAACTTATATCTCGGATGAGCCCCAAGAAAGGTGAGGGAAAGTTCATCAGGTGGTGATGTCATGTGCAGGCGAAACAGTAGAAGTAGATCAATGAGATCACTGTGATGTCTATCTATCTCTCTCCCTATACATCTCAGTCAAGGCTGGCTCTGCCTGCCCTTTAACACACTGACACCTCTGTAGTTTCAGGTTTGAACTTTTGATGATCTTAAAGGCCCAGTGCAGTCAAAAACATGATTTTCCAGTGTTTTATATAAACTATACACTACCGTTCAAAAGTTTGGGGTCACTTAGAAAGCTCCTTGTTTTCGAAAGAAAATCATTTTTTTTGTCCATTAAAATAACATCAAATTGATCAGAAATACAGTGTAGACATTGTTTATGTTGTAAATGGCTATTGTAGCTGGAAATGGCTGATTTTTAATGGAATATCTACATAGGCGTACAGAGGCCCATTATCAGCAACCATCAGTTCTGTGTTCCAATGGCACGCTGTGTTTGCTAATCCAAGTTTATCATTTAAAAAGGCTAATTGATCACAGATATAGCCCCTGGTTCTCCTCAGACTTGACTGCCCTTGACCAGCACAAAAACATCCTGTGGCGTACTGCATTAGCATCAAATAGCCCCCGCGATATGCAACTTTTCAGGGAAGTTAGGAACCAATATACACAAGCAGTCAGGAAAACAAAGGCTAACTTTTTCAAACAGAAATTTGCATCCTGTAGCACTAACTCCAAAAAGTTTTGGGACACTGTAAAGTCCATGGAGAATAAGAGCACTTCCTCCCAGCTGCCCACTGAACTGAGGCTAGGAAACACTATCACCACCGATAAATCTACAATAATCGAGAATTTCAACAAGCATTTTGCTACGGCTGGCCATGCTTTACACCTGGCTACCACTACCCCGGCCACCAGCTCTGCACCCTCCGCTGCAACTTGCCCATGCCCCCCCCCCGCTTCTCCTTCACACAAATTCAGACAGCTGATGTTCTGAAAGAGCTGCAAAATCTGGACCCCTACAAATCAGCTGGGCTAGACAATCTGGACCCTTTCTTTCTAAAACTAGCCGCCGAAATTGTCGCAACCCCTATTACTAGCCTGTTCAACCTCTCTTTCGTAACGTCTGAGATCCCCAGAGATTGGAAAGCTGCCGCGGTCATCCCCCTCTTCAAAGGGGGTGACACTCTAGATCCAAACTGTTACAGACCTATATCCATCCTGCCCTGCCTTTCGAAAGTATTTGAAAGCCAAATTAACAAACAGATCACCGACCATTTCGAATCCCACCGTACCTTCTCCGCTATGCAATCCGGTTTCCGAGCTGGTCATGGGTGCACTTCAGCCACGCTCAAGGTCCTAAACGATATTATAACCGTGATCGATAATAGACAGTACTGTGCAGCCGTCTTCATCGACCTGGCCAAGGCTTTCGACTCTATCAACCACCGCATTCTTATTGGCAGACTAAATAGCCTTGGTTTCTCAAATGACTGCCTCGCCTGGTTCACCAACTACTTCTCAGATAGAGTTCAATGTGTCAAATCGGAGGGCCTGTTGTCTGGACCTATGGCAGTCTCTATGGGGGTGCCACAGGGTTCAATTCTTGGGCCGACTCTTTTCTCTGTGTATATCAATGATGTCGCTCTTGCTGCTGGTGACTCTCAGATCCATCTCTACGCAGACGACACCATTTTGTATACATCTGGCCCTTCATTGGACACTGTGTTAACAAACCTCCAAATGAGCTTCAATGTCATACAACACTCCTTCAGTAGCCTCCAACTGCTCTTAAACACTAGTAAAACTAAATGCATGCTCTTCAATCGAACGCTGCTGGCACCCGCCCACCCGACTAGAATCACTACTCTCGACGGGTCTGACCTAGAGTATGTGGACAACTACAAATACCTAGGTGTCTGGTTAGACTGTAAACTCTCCTTCCAGACTCACATTAAGCATCTCCAATCCAAAGTTAAATCTAGAATCGGCTTCCTATTTCGCAACAAAGCCTCCTTCACTCATGCTGCCAAACATTCCCT